GTAACGCACCCTTCTGGCAAGACAGTAATGGAGTGAATGATGGTGAAAGTTTTTCTTTTTTGGGCCACCCTGCCTTGGTGGGAATTGGCCATGGGCTAATAAAAAAATAATTTACTATCAGTCCATTCTACTTTATACAACTAAACACTATATTCTCTTAGTGTGGTTCTTTACTTTTAAATACTTTGTACTGCCCGTATAAGCTCTAATATTGCTACCAGTGCAATATTGAATCCTAATAATTGTAAATAAAAATCTAATACTTGTAATAGAATGTACTTTGTAATTAATATTACTTGCTTAAATTTTTTTCAACACCATACTTACTATCAGTCCACTGTACTTTAGTACAATTGATCACTATATTCTCTCTCTTTATTTCTATTTTCATTTTTAATTTGCCATTCCTTGCTTATTATTATAAACTATTATTATTGATTTAGATAAAGAAAAATTGGATATCAAATTGGGGAGGAGGAGTATGGAAGAAGTGAATGTTTTCAGATACTTGGGAGTTGACGTGTCGGCGGATGGATTTATGAAGGATGAGGTTACTCATAGAATTGATGAGGGAAAAAGGGTGAGTGGTGCATTGAGGTATATATGTAGTCAAAAAACGTTATCTATGGAGGCAAAGAAGGGAATGTATGAAAGTATAGTAGTACCAACACTCTTATATGGATGTGAAGCTTGGGTGGTAAATGCAGCAGCGGGGAGACGGTTGGAGCAGTGGAGATGTCCTGTCTAAGGGCAATGTGTGGTGTAAATATTATGCAGAAAATTCGGAGTGTGGAAATTAGGAGAAGATGTGGAGTTAATAAAAGCATTAGTCAGAGGGCAGAAGAGGGGTTTGTTGAGGTGGTTTGGTCACTTAGAGAGAATGGATCAAAGTAGAATGACATGGAAAGCATATAAATCTATAGGGGAAGGAAAGAGGGGTAGGGGTCATCCTCAAAAGGGTTGAAAGAGGGGTAAAGGAGGTTTTGTGGGCGAGGGGCTTGGACTTCCAGCAAGCGTGCATGAGCGTGTTAGATAGGAGTGAATGGAGACGAATGATACTTGGGCCCTGACGATCTGTTGGAGTGTGAGCAGGGTAATATTAGTGAAGGGATTCAGGGAAACCGGTTATTTTCATATAGTCGGACTTGAGTCCTGGAAATGGGAAGTACAATGCCTGCACTTTAAAGGAGGGGTTTGGGATATTGGCAGTTTGGAGGGATATGTTGTGTATCTTTATACGTATATGCTTCTAAACTGTTGTATTCTGAGCACCTCTGCAAAAGCAGTGATAATGTGTGAGTGTGGTGAAAGTGTTGAATGATGATGAAAGTATTTTCTTTTTGGGGATTTTCTTTCTTTTTTGGGTCACCCTGCTTCAGTGGGAGACGACCGACTTGTTGAAAAAAAAAAAAATTATTATAGAACTGATAACCAGTGCAATATTATATTCTCAAATTTGTGCCATAATAAGAGTTAGCATAATCCCTGTATTTTATAATTACTTATCTTAATCTACTATTATAAACTATTATTTTTGTTTTCTCTTATTTTTTTTATAACTACCATTATCTGCAAACTTTTAATTTAATTATCACTTCCAGTACTAAACAATTTTATTGTGTTCAGTAAACTTCTATTCTAAATCTACAACTGTTGTCAAACTCAAACTAAAACTGTTAAATATTAAATCATCAAATCTGTACCATATTAAGAGTAAACTGTATCTCTATTTTTTAAAACTACTTGTAACAATCCATTAGCTAGTAAGAAAAATTAATTTAGTATCATAATTTTTAAGTTTAACATAATACTTTATTCAAAAGTCTAGTTGTAGAGTCACTCTCAGTCTTTTGATTACAAGCATTGATCCTGATATCAAACAGCATCTGTAATTATTTTACAGCAAACCAAACAAAGACATTACTCAGAGCCAACAATAACATAACTGTCTTTAATTATAATGTCAGATCTTTGAGCAAACATTATGATGACCTCACAGCATTACTCAATTCCCTTCATGCCAGTATGTCAGTCATCAACTCCCAGAAACCTGGCTAAAGTCTGGTACTACAGATGTCTATGCCATTCCTGGTTATGCAGCCATACACAACTGTAAGACTGAACAGCAAGGGGGTGGAACAGCTATATACAACTCAGATCAACTTGCATGTATCAATAATTCTTGCACAAGGGATGAACATGGAGAATATATTATAGCTAAATTTAAATCAAAAGACTGCAAAAAACCCTCACAGTAATAAACATCTACAGAGTACCACAGTCAAATATTTACCATTTTAATGAAAAATTAGGAAACATGATAGCTGATGCACATATGAACAAAGACCACTTGCTGCTCACAGGAGATTTCAACGTAAATCTACTACATGACCAGGACCCACAAGTAACCGAATTCACAAACACTATGAACAACTGCTTGTTGCTACCAACAATAACAAAACCTACAAGAATCTCAGAGACTAGTATCTCCTTATTAGACCACATCTGAACTAACACCATATCCCCTTTAAAATCAGGCATAATCACAGACAACACCACTGACCACTACCCTACCTAGGTAAACTGCCCCAAGACACTACTAAAATTACCTCCAGACTACATAACAAGACAGCTGTTAATAACTTTATAACAGCTATGAATAACATCGACTGGCATAATGAGCTTGAAACATGTACAAATACTAATGAATGTATTAATAATTTTCTAAAAAAAAGTCCACTACCTCTATAACAAGCATTGCCCTAAAAATACTAAACAGATCACAGCTAAGAGACTGAACAGTCCCTGGCTAACACCCAGCATCCTTAAATCCATTAACACTCAGTACCTATATGAAAAAAGTACAGAATGGGTCAAAACACTAGAGACCATTCTAAACGTTACTCGTCAATCCTTACTAGCCTGGTAAGAAGGTCAAAAAAATTGTATTATGAGAACAGATTACATAACATAAAAGGTGATATGAAAAAGACTTGGAAAACCCTATCTGAAATTCTAGGAACTAAAAAGATATCCAAAAACAAAACAAATTAACAAAATCAGATGAACTCCTACTCCCACCAACTGAAACAGCAGACAGACTCAGTGTTTTCTTCTCCACCATAGGAAAGAATCCAGTGAGCAAAATCCCAAGCTCAAACACCCGTCCATCGGACTACCTCAGTACACTATTCCTAGCCCCAACCAACCCAACAGAAGTCTCGCTTATCATCAACACCCTTAAAAACAAGGCAGGAGACATAACGTACCACTTTTTATGTACAAAAAAGCTTCACAAATACTGTCACCAATTATGGCAACACTCTTTAACAAATCCATTGAATCCTCCATCTTCCCAGCAGTTCTCAAAACAGCAAGGGTCACTCCGATTCACAAAGGTGATCAAGCGGACTTGAATAACTATAGATCAATATCTAACTTACCTTTGCTCTCTAAAATCTTTGAAAAATTAATTCATAGACAGATCTATTCCTACCTCATCTCACACAGCATACTAAACTGCTGTCAGTTTGGATTCAGGTCTAATAAAAGCACAAATGATGCTATTATACACATGCTAGAACTAATATCCACCGCTCTTGAGAAGAAGTCCCACTGGGAATCTTCATTGATTTACGTAAAGCTTTTGATACAGTTAAACATGATTTGCTGCACATTAAATTAACACACTATGGTCATACCTTAGTAACAGAAGCCAATATGTGTACACAAATGGAGCAAACTCTTTCACTCAACCAATCACAGTCGGTGTCCCACAAGGAAGTGTCCTTGGCCCACTCCTCTTTCTCATTTACATCAATGACCTGCCGAATGCATCACAACTACTCATACCCATATTATTTGCAGATGACACAACATGTGTCTTCTCTCACCCAAACCCAGTCATACTGGCCAACACTTAATACCGAATTGCAGAAAATATCTATCTGGATGACGACTAATAAGCTTACCCTCAATACTGACAAAGCCTATTTCATTCAGTTTGGAAACAGAGCTGCAAATGTTACACTTAACATAATGCTAAATGGCTCATCCATCACAAGACACACACACGGAAAATTCCTAGGAATCCACCTTGACAGTAACCTCAAATTCCAGATACATATGCAACAAATTTCCAAGAAAATCTCTAAGACAGTAGGCATACTATCAAAGATACAGTACTATGTTCCACAATCAGCTCTCCTTGCACTGTATCATTCACTCATCTACCCTTATCACATATGGAGTTTGTGCATGGGGTTCAACAACATTAAATCACCTAAGACTACTAATAATCCAGCAAAAGGCTGCAGTCAGAATGATAACAAATTCCCAGTCCCGACAGCATACTCCACCAATATTCAGAAGTCTAAAACTGCTCACTAGTGATATGAGCAAATTCACCGATGACTCGAATATAGGTAGGATAATTGATTCAAACGTAGTTGTTGTGGAAATTCAGGAGGATTTAGACAACTCAATTCCTGGTCAGAAAGGTGGTAGATGCAGTTCATTGTACATAACTGCAAGGTCCTGAAGCTCCGGAGTGTCCATAACCCTAGCACTTTAGTAAGGCCTCGCCTAGATTACGCAGCTCACTTCTGGTCTCCATATTACAGAATCGATATAAACTTGTTAGAGAACATTCAGTGTATAATGACTAAATTAATACATAGCATTAGAAATCTTCCATACGAAGAAAGATTGAAGACTCTTAAACTGCATTCACTTGTAAGACGAAGAATGAGGGGAGACATGATCGAAGTGTATAAGTGGAAGATGGGTATTAACCCTTAAACTGTCCAGATGTAGATCTACGTTCATGTGGGTAGCACTCTGACCTTTATTTTCTCCATTTGAAAGCATGTAAAAAAAATGTAGATCTACGTTCAGAGCGCTACACACGTCAACATAGATCTACGTTTACAGTTTAAGGGTTAACAAAGGGGATATAAAAAAGTTTTTGAGGTTATCCCTCCAAGAGAGAACCCGCAATAATGGATTCAAATTCGACAAATTTTGATTTCGAAAGTACTGGTTTGGTAATAAGGTAGTTGATGAGTGGAGCAGTCTGTCTATTAGGGTTATCGAAGCAAAAACCTTTAGTAGTTTCAAATTTAGGTTGGATAAGTACATGAGTGAGAAGGGTTGGATTTGAGTGGGACTTGCTCCTGAGTAAATATAATTATCAAAGCTTATTGCTTGGGTAGTGTTTATTCTGTTAGTGGGATGGATTTGTGAAGGACCTGCCTAGTATGGGCCAACAGGCCTATTGCAGTGTTCCTCCTTTCTTATGTTCTTATTCATGTGCCTACTACATACATAGAACACTACACTCAAACATAAACCCTCCACTCAAACTTCTTACCAACCTTAACAGGACACATGACTATAACATAAGACAGATCTCTCTTTGATGTACCCCAAGTCCATATCACACTGTAAAAACTCTAAGCACATAAAGGGCCCCAAAATTTGTAATTCATTACCAGTAAATACTAAAGTAAACCCAGTCTGAACATCAATTTAAGACTTTTCTCAAAAACCACTTACTCACCGTAAACTAAATACTCAATACTCAATATATAACTTTACCAAAAAATTTCCCAATTACCTAAATCTTAAAACTTCAAAACAAGACGCCCAAAGTTCATACATACTGTACATTGATTAATACTACATTGCAGTAAAAATACCTACCCAAAACAATGCTGCCTTACACCCAATTGTAGCATACTCATACTGTAAACTACTTTCAACAACTCACAATGTTATATTCCCATAATACAATTTTAATATTTATTATTGAAACTATTGTAATTTGAGTATAATTAATGTCTACTATAAATAAAAACAGATGTACAACTTAAGCTATGATCAATTTATTTAGTATTAACCCTTTGACTGTCGCAACCCCCAATCCTGAGGTGTCTCCTGGTGTTGCAAAATTTCAAAAAAAAAAAAATGTATTTTTTCTTATGAAATGATAGAAAATCTTTTCCTGATTGTAATGACACCAAAAAAACGAAATTTGATGGAAAACTGACGGAATTATGCTCTCGCGAAGTTAGTGACCTCGGCGATATTTACAAATCGGCGATTTCGCCCACTTTCAACCCTATTTTCGGCTAATTCTGTTGTTCCAGTCGACCAAACTCATAGCTATTTCTTTAGAAGTCCATTTTTTCTATCAATTGAGTACAAGAAACTGCCCATTTACTGATTTCAACTAACCAATAATGTGGTCAGAAATTTGCAATTTGGCCAATTTCACGAAAATTAAAAAATATGACAATTTCAAAATAAGGTCCCGAATGAACAATGCAGACATTCCTGGCTCTAAGATAACATTTTCTTTGTTCGTCAGTCACGTCTCCAGGCCCCTCTGATATTACTCTTGCTTTCTATTTTGAATTTTTATTCAAACAAAAAATAGAAGACTTACTATTATGCAGACTACTGCAATACTGTAATAATTGTATAAATAACATCAACCCATTCATGACTGCATATTAGAATGGCTAGTTAGACATTTATTGGACAATGACATCATTTGTTTACTTTTGAACATTGACAAAAATCAAACATTTCCCCTACTTTGAGCTCCATTTCCAGGCTCTTTTTATAGTAAAATCAATCAAAATCACCTCAATTTCTATAATATGTTTTCCATTCTATCAAATGAGACCAAGAAAACGAGAACACAACCATAAATACTATACGAAAATACAGTGGACCCCCGCATGCCGTTGGCATCACATAACGTTAAATCCCCATAGCGATACATTTTATCACTAAAATTTTGCCTCGCATAGCGCTAAAAAACTCGCTCAACGCTATTCGTCCGAGACGCGTCTATGTGAGGCCTGAGCCAGCCTCACATGTTCCGCCGGTGGCATTGTTTACAAGCCAGCCTCCACGGTAACATCCAAGCATACAGTCGGAACATTTCGTATTATTACAGCGTTTTTGGTGATTTTATCTGAAAAATAAGTGACCATGGGCCCCAAAAGTTCTAGGGCCAACCCTGTGAAAAAAGGGTGAAAAAATTTTATCAAAATACTGTGGTACCATGGTCACTGCTGATGCTGCGCTGCTGTAGCACTGTCACTCTGCTGTAGCACCATCAGCTGCTGCTGCTGCTGCTGCGCTGTGTACCGTTGTGTGCGTAGCACCGTTTGCGCGCTGTAGCCCCGTCGCTGCGCTGTAGCACTGTCATGTGCTGTAGCACGTCAGCTGCTGCTACTGTGCCTGTCAGCTGCGCTGTGCTGCGAGCACCGTCAGCTGCGCGCTGCTGTACCACCATCACTCGCTGCTGCGCTGTAGTACCGTCGTGCTGCTGAGCACCCGTCTGCGCGCGTAGCCCCGTTGTGCTGCTGTAGCACTATCAGTGCCTGTACCCCTGTCAGCTGCTGCTGTGCTGTAGCCGTCACTGCTGCTGCGCTGCTGTAGCAGTCACTGTGTGCTGCTGCTGTGCACCGTTGTTGAGGGCTTATTGAGAATACCAAGAAAAAAATTAACCCCAAGGGTTAGCCACCCAGGATAACCCAAAAAAGTCAGTGTCATCGAAGACTGTCTAACTTATTTCCATTGGGTCCTTAATCTTGTCTCCCAGGATGCAACCCACACCAGTCGACTAACACCTAGGTGAACAGGGAAAAATGCCTGGAACTAGTGCTCATATTGGTGAATTTAAAGCTAGCAAAGGTTGGTTTGAGAGATTTAAGAATCGTAGTGGCATACACAGTGTGATAAGGCCTGTTCTGGAAGAAAATGCCAAACAGGACCTACAGTACTCAGGAGGAAAAAGGCACTCCCAGGACACAGTGTCTCATCAGTCATTGCTGCATCTTCAATAAAGGTAAGTGTCATTTATTCTTCATTTAGTAGAGTAGTACATGCACAATATATATTGTGCATGTACTACTCAACTATTGTGCATGTATCCTTCTCTTTGTGTGTAGGAAAACGTATATTTCATGTGGTAAAAATTTTTTTTTCATACTGTTGGGTGTCTTGCATGGATTAATTTGATTTCCATTATTTCTTATGGGGAAAATTCATTCGCATAACAATGAGCTCTCAGGAACGGATTAATATTGTTATGCGGGGGTCCACTGTAGACCACAAAGTCGGCATTTTAATTAAAAAAAAAAAAACGGTCAGAGTTTTTTTTTTTCTCATTATGCACTGCATGCTCCAGGATTTTTTTTATATGGTGCACACTGACCACACAGACCCATTCTCTCACATGTTGGCCTACCAAACACAGTACCTCGTAAGACTTATATATACGGCCGCGACAGTCAAAGGGTTAATTAGTCTGTAAGCCATTTAATTAAGTGCCCATAATGCCTAGGCATGATAGTGGCTCTCTTTGCACTGCAACTCATTATTGCAATTTCATATTTTCAATGTAATCTTGTAAAGAAATATAATTTGTTTGTTTTTGTTTTGAAAACACTGGGATTTTCAGAGTGATACACCAGTAAAGGCTTCACTTTGAAATCCCCACTAACATTATCACACAACAAGAGAGTTAGCCTGTCTTTCATAGGCTTGTGTCCTGGGAGTGCCTTTTCTTCCTGTGTGATGTAGGTCCTCTTTGACATTTTCTTCCAAAACAGGCCTGTTTTGTCACAATTGAACACTTGTTGGGGTTGGAATTTTTCAGGCTCTACATAGTCTTTGAATTCCCACACGAATTTTTCAGCCACATGTTTGTCTGAACTGGCACCTTCACCATGCCTTACAACACTGTGTATTCCACTTCGCTTCTTGAATTTTTCGAACCAGCCTTTGCTGGCCTTAATTTCACCAACATCAGCACTTGTTCCAGGCAGTTTCTTCATGAAATCGTCATGCAACTGCCTCGCCTTTCCACAGATTATCGACTGCACAACTCTATCTCCTGCTAACTGTTTCTCTTTGATCCAGCCAACAATTTCTCCACATCTTCAGTTGTTTGGGATATCTGTTTTGTTATCGCATTCACCCCTTTCACAACATCAGCTTCCATGATTTCTTTTCTCTTTGCCACAATGGAACTGATGGTTGATGGTGCCTTCTTGTACATTCTGCCAAGGTCAGCAATGTGTATGCCACTATCGTATTTTTGAATGATTTCTTTTTTCATTTGTACGGTGTTCCTCACTTTCTTTGCCAAAGGAATGGCACTAGGAGCTTTCTTTGGGGCCATGGTGGCTTATTTAGCAGTCACAATAAACAAGTGCCAAAAACAGTGGATTATCACGAAATGTTTTGTATGACCATGCAGGATATGTTCACTCACCGAGAAACAAAGTGGCACTGCCTGAGAATGTGTGTGGGAGGCGGCTTGTGTGTGTGCTGGGCACTGAACAGATTCTGTACCATCAATGAAAATGGAGGAAATCTATGAAAACAGAACCAATATTTGACGAAAAAACTCTGCAAAAACGGAAATCGGCGATAACAGAGATTGACAAAAAGGGAGGGTTCGCTGTATATAGAAACCCCCCTGTTATGCAGAGCATTTTGGGGAAATTAGGTCAATTTTTGTCCCAGGATGTGACCCACACCAATCGACTAACACCCAGGTACCCATTCTACTGATGGGTAAACATGGTCCAGGTTTGATTCTCGGCAAGGGAATCAAACCCGGACCCTCAGCGTGTGAAGTGAGAGCTTTGCCAACTAGGTTAAGAGCTCTGTTAGTCTGTTTTATGTATGTTTCATTGGAATTACCCTCCTTGAGTGATTTAACCCTTTCAGGGTTTTGGCCATACTAGTACGGCTTATGCACCAGGGTTTTTGACGTACTAGTACGCATAAATTCTAGCGCCCTCAGATCTAGTGAGAGAAAGCTGGTAGGCCTACATATGAAAGAATGGGTCTATGTGGTCAGTGTGCATGGTATAAAAAAATCCTGCAGCAAACAGTGCGTAATGAGAAAAAAAAAACTTTGACAGTGTTTTTGGATTAAAACAGTGACTTTGCACTGTTTTTTTCGTATGGTATTTATTGTTGTATTCTAGTTTTCCTTGTCTCAT